TGTGGTTTAATGTGCATTTAGGTGTGATGAGCCCTAATATATATATATATATATATATATATATATATATACACGTTTTATACTTTTTAGCAAGGATAAATTAAATTGATCAAAAGTGACAGTAAAGATATTTACAGTGTTACAGAAGATTTCTATTTCAAACAAAAGCTGTTCTTATTAACTTTTTATTCATCAAGAATCTTAAAAAAGGTCGTTTCCACAAAAATATTAAGTAGTATAACCATTTTCAGCATCGATAAGGAATGTTTCTTGAGCATAAAATATAATAGGATCATGTAACACCGAAGACTGGAGTCTTCAGCTTTGCCATCACAGGAAAAAAAATTACATTTGAAAATATTAAATTAAAAAACTGTTAATTTAAATTGTAATAATATTTCACAATATTACTGTTTTTTGTTTTTGCATCTATTTATTTGTTTGTTTGGATTTTTGATCAAATACATGCAGCATTGATCATAAAAGACTTCTTTCTAAACCAAGTCATCAGCATTTAAGGTCTGTTTTCCTTCAAGAAAAAGACTTTATACTCTTATATCTTCAATAAATTGGATTAAGTCAGCTTTTAAAAGCACACTAGCATGTAGATGACCTCAAAGCTAGAAGACATTGACTAAAAGCCACAAAACTCTAACTTTAATTTTATGGGGTCTCTAACCTCCAGAGTATTATGCACAAAGTAATAAATGTTTTCAAGCGAGCAGACCAGCTTCAGTTCAGCTTAACGTCACAGTGCCGGAACCCCAGGGAACAAATCACAAAAGAAAAACTCAAACTGTGCTCTAAACTTCTAAAGATTACATCATATATAATTTTCTAATTGCAGTTGTGTTTAATTTCAGCTGAATGGCATGTTGCCTGCTAATGCAAACCAGATGGACATCCACTGAAGCAAATACAAATCATAACATTTGTACACTGGAATGATTATGGATTTCATAGCTAGTACACAAAGATCCATCCTTCTCTGTGCGCGTCATCTGTAGGTTTCAGGTTGCTTTCACCATGAAAGTCTTCCTTTGAGGTTCAAGAACCAATGCATCTGGTTTTGGGAATGATTTGAGACATTAATGGATAGTGGATGCAAAAGTAGACAAAGGGCTGCTCTGTTGCCAGGAATAGGAAAGCAGCGTTAAAATCCCAGGAATGCTGAAGAAATGTGCCGATGTGTGCAATGGAAAGTGAACAGGAGGAGGAGGAGGTGGAGGAAAGTAGGAATAAAGGAAAATGCTCTGAGAAATATTAAGGCCAAACCAGCTTCCAAATACCATTAGCTGATGAACTGAATCCCTACTTTTGACATGGGAAAAACTCAATCGCTAATGCTGCGAGACTGTATTAGAAATACGAGACTAGGGTGGGTTTTTTGAGCATTATGTGGTTTCTAGGGTGTTACTAGGTGGTTACTTAATGGCCCAAGTCAAAAGAGGCCAAACCAAAGACATGCACTAAATATAGCTCGGTCCCTCATTTAAAGGCACCGTTCACCCAAAAATGAAAATTCTTGTAATCATTTACTCACCTTCATGTTGTTTCAAATGTTGTACTAATAACACTGGTTAATCTTCAAAACACACATTTAGATATTTTTAAATGTAATCTGAGAAGTTTATGTTCCTCCATTTAAAGTCCAGGTAACCAAAACCTAAAAGATCCAAAAATCCATATGAATAGAGCGGTACAAGCCTAAATTATATTTGTTGATCATATAAAGCAATCGTATCTCTTCACAAGACTTGGATTAAACCTCTTGATTCATATGGATTTGTTTTACAACGCCTTTGTTTTACAATGCTCTGGTTACCTGGACTTTCAATGGAGAAATACTTACATGAGGGTAAGTAAATGAATATAGAATTTTTATTTTTGGGTGATTTACCCCCTACCCATACAGGATGACAGTGCATGTTTAGACAAAAACAAATAAATCAAATTGCTTTGAAAATAATAGCAATCTCTCCTCACCTCAATTACTATTTTTCATGCCTGTATAGCACAATCAATGCAGGATGTGTTACATGACAAAGTTTAAAACACAAGATTAGTGGTTTGTTCAAATCCTTAGCAAGCACCACCAATTATTATGTTTAACATCAAATGTTCAAGCAGTCTCTATAAATAAACCACGGTTCCAATTCATCCCTCTCCTGTTTGAATGGCGGCCTTATGCGCCTAAGCCCATAAAACCTCACTCTTTAACATCTTTGTTCTCCCACTGAGGAGAAGGGGGGAAACAGACCACCCGTCTTCAAATTACTCCACTTTAGAACCTGTGGACAGAGCATATCTTCATTACCTTATGACCTGTTTAGACCCAGCGTGATTCAACACTGCATAACTTGACAGTTCAGCACTGTAAGAGGGCGTAGACTTCCGTCAAGATGAATGAACCACCGCCCTTCATATCAGACTAACAAATCACCTTCAACAGCATAGTATAATCTCAAACGACAGAACAAACACAGCTAATGATTCACCTCCTGTCACGCTAATGACTCGCTGATGTCAACCTGAACACAGGAAGCTGTCTGGCTGTAACATTCCTTTGAAAATTATTAAATAATTTTCACGTCTGTCAAGAGGTGAGGGCGACTGAGGAATGAAGTGTTTATTTTACTGTGTTGTACCAAACCTACGGCACGTTTCAGTGTAGGTCATGTGATTAATATTAAGGTAGTAAATGGTCATAACATGCCAGTTTGGTGCATTACAATAGAGATAGTCATTTTGAGGCCTTACATAGAGAGCCACTGAACTATAAAGTGAATAAATGATCCATCAGAATGGACTTCTCTCTACTTTTAGCAATTTTCCATTTCTTTGAAGTAACGCTGAAGTGGTTCCTGCAGTTTTACTCAAAAATCAGAAGATAGCCTTCATTTTTAAAATGATAGGCATCATTTTTGCCATGTTAGCTCTAGCGTGAGGAGATGCTGGTATCTGCTCAATCCTGTAATGAAATCATTCTTCATAAACACAAGATCCTGCACTGCGCTTTATGAGAAGATAAATCAGGTTAGGAATGACACGCACAGACACGCTCCTGCTATTGCATAACATCTGGCAGTAGCAGGCAGCTTTACGACCAGCTCTCACACTGACGGATGAAGTCACCATTTTGACTGAAGCAGACATTTAAGGGAGTGTTAGTGCAAGTCAGCTAAACAGATGTGCATGGCTGCACGTTATACTACCAAGTCAGACAAAGCAAGGGAAATGGTGAAAATGTTGTAAAGTCTAGCAGAGCTAAAACCATAGAAAATCTAGCTGATATTGTTTCCTTGATATTTAGAAGCTGATATTCACATAAAAGAATTTAAAAACAGTAAATGAGACATCTATTACCAAATGGCAAAGCTTTCAGGACATTTTTCAACTTCAATGCCATTTGTAATAAAATTAAACATGTCATTGGGCCATATACATGTCCATACATGAAGACACAAGACTTGTTAAAGGTGAAGTATGCAATTTCTGCCACACTAGCATAAATGAGCGAAACTGACTGTTTTCAAATAATTTTCTCAAACTTGTGCGGAGGTGTGCTTCTTGTACAATGATGTAACTCACTGCTTAACTACTGTAGAATGATTCTTTGTTGGAGAAATGTACAGGCAGCATTTTTATCCAAACCAAGGCCTCATTGTATTCATATACATACAAAATGACCTTTCAGGTCCACAACAGCACTAGCTACCAGAGCTTGTGTCTATACTACAAACAACACTGCTCATACAAGGAATGGAACTTCTGCATCTGGACCTGATCTGTTCAATATGCTCCATTGGAGGTGCTATTAAGACAGGATTCAATGACCTTAAAGAGAGAACAACGCATGCTGGAAACTAAACAAAGCATAACATATCCTTGTGAGGAGACATCTGAATGGAGTTCTGAAGCAGCCCTTTTCTTATGGGGTTGATATCAAGCGGTGACATGTTTCTGAAGGAATGCAAGTTTTGAAATAGACCTCATGAAGCACTGAGCACACTTTTCTCATTAACTCTATTGCATTTCCTTATGAGGTGTGTTTGATGGCTTTCTGCGTGCAGAGGCGGGACTGTAACCTGACACAGAATTGAATGAAATTGGATGAAAACACCTTGAGTGAGTGATGGGTTCATGTTATCTAAATTAAGTCTGCAAAACGCCTTGTTCATCATTTGTCAAACTGAAAGGGAACAAACGAGATGAATACATCATTTATAAGCAGCTAACAGCTTAAGCTGTAAACAAAACAATGGGTCTATTACCCATCACTACATCCAAGATGGAGGTCACTTACTCTTGACACGGTCAGGGGCATGTTGAAGTCCTTGCCTCCCTGAAGCCGAAAACCCCAGGGAGCAGGTCCGTTGAGCGTTACACTATATATATTCATGGCCTAAAGAGAAAACAAACACAGAAGAAAGATTAAAGTTTCATTACATCACAGTAATAATATTATAAGTGATTCAGAGCTCCTAACAAGGCTGAAACCAAACATTCCAGACCCACACACGTGAACCGTGTCTGGTATGCTGTTGACGTCTGACTGTCCGTGAATTAAACCCAACAAACTTTTTTGGACTGGAAGATACATTGAACAATTATATAGTAGAATATTTAACAATATATAGGATATTCAAATTTACCCTCATTCATATAGTACACTCACATAAAGCTATACTAGAAAGAAATACTAGACAATTCTAAAAAATAAAAAAAAACGTTTTTTTTTTTTTTGGCATCTGTGGCTCCATGAAGAACCTTTAACATCCATGGAACCTTTCATGCACAAAAGAAAAAAATGGTTCTTTTTAGAAATCTTCACTGAAAGTTTCTTTGGGGAACCAAAAATGGTTCTACTATGGCATCACTGCGAAAACCCCCTTTTGGAACTTGTATTTTTAAGTGTACACCAAAACTCATCTCTGTGGTTCCTTAAACAATGTTATCACAAAGGTCTCTATATAAAGTTGGATATCCAACTTTATTTGCCTACATACAGCACACTCACATTAATCAATGTGAACTACAGCAAACCTCAACTGCTTGATTGGTTATATCATCACAAAATGTAAATTATATTATCGCCCAGCTCTAATCTGCTAAATGTGACTAGGCATGAAGATTTCTATAAAGCTGGTTTGAAATAATGTGTACTGTGAAAAGCGCTATACAGATAAATTTGACAATTGAAAGAAAGTTTTCAGGTTTTAATGCATTTGGCTCAAGATTAACATTACTGAAACCATTTGAAAACACTTTTATTCCTGCGTGACCAATTGTTCACGGTTAAACAGTAGTGTTCGTGGAGACATTTGAGAACCGGCTTATTTAAATTAATTATCAGGTAGGTGACAGAAATAAGCACCTATATACTTCCATTGCGTGGTGAACTGCAAATTACTGGTCAGTGATACACAATGAAAGTGCACATTATCTACACTCTAGCAAATCTGTGAGAACCCAGAACATTTTAAAAGCTCAACATAGATTTATAGCACTCAGTGGCTGTTCGCATAAAGCATACGCTCAATGACCCACTTATGTGTGGTGACAGCAGATTAATTTAACAACTAATGAGCCATTTTATTCCTGAAACACTCAAATAATCCACTGCTGGCACCTCCAGCACACCATTGCATCACTGTGTTAATTATGCTACAGGTTGGTACAAGAGCAAATAGTAACATGACATAAAACTGAAACCAAAGGATGAGCAGAGACCCCCAAATTATGACATTTTCCCACTCCCTGTGACTTATGGTCCTCAAACTCCAGAGGCTATCCTATCCCACATGGAGTTTACCTGTTATAGGGTGGCGTGCCACACACATACCTTATGCCACGGGCCAAACTTGTCACCCAAACCTCCAGAAAACCAAGTGGAAATCTGGCACTGCGAGACAGCCTGACTTTCTCACTGCTGGCAAAGCTCAACTCCCTGCCCTCCTTCTTTGTGACACGGGTTCGCTCCACGTCTCTCTTACTCCACAGGCTATATAAGGAATGTAAAACTACACCAAACTATTTCAGCCCAACACCCACGAGTCACGGAGAGGGGGAAGAGAGACCGAGAGAGAGAGGGAGGGAAGGAAGGAAGGAAGAGAAAACATCTACTACCTCAGATTCTCTGGCTCTAGATGTAACATTTAAACCCATAAACTACTAGAAAAAGTCATCAGAAGGCAGGTTGGATGGGTGGGAAGCCAAATGAACATTCCTCTCAATGCGGATACCATATGTTTCATGGTTGCACCCACGGTTGGGTATATGACAGCAACTTGAGAGTGCAGCAGCACTGTTTTGCCCTGCGGTAAAACTGCAATTGAGAATACATTACACATTCTTTTCGCACGGTGCGAATAACATATGTTTTAGATGGCAAAACCGTTACCACCCAAAGCAGGTTATGTCATTGAATACAATTTGAGAGGACAAAACTGCTGCTGTTGTCGTACCCTGCGGTAAAACTGTAATTGAGAGGGCACTGTACTTTCTCAAAGGTCTCTTTTCTGGCGCATTTCAATTTTCCATGAACTACCTCCAATTTCATACAGTCCTTTGTAAAAAATAAAAAAAAACAAAAAACATAATAAGAATAAATTATTTTAAAATAGCATTCATTCATAAGTCTGACATTTCATCCTCTGTGGTGAATTAGAATGCTGTGCTTAAGAACTGATAAAACTGAAAAAGGACATTACACATAAAACAGTTAAGTGTTCAAGCAGTCTAAATTAATTTCTGTCAATTGGGTTATGTGAGTGCAAGAACAAATCCTGTACTTTGCAAACTGCATGTAACTCAGTATTGTCCTATAAACTATACATAAACTATAATAATTTGTATTATTTTCTTCAGTAAGAGGAAATACGACAAAAGTCAAGGCCTTTGATCATTGAAACTAAATACAATCTGCAGTAAACTTGGATTTATCTCTGTAATCATGATTTACAACTAAAAGATCATTTAAAAAAAATCAATGTCCTACAGAGACAATATTTAGTTCTTTAGAGAATCCAGATTAGATGCAAAACCACATTAATATGTAAACTAATGTATTACTAATTGCCTGTTAGGAAAAGTCCCAAAGTAACCAACGCATTCAAATGAAATTAGGCTACTGTATTAACATGCCGCATTAAATCATAAAGCCACATTTTAGCAATCTTAATTACATCATAAATCAAATACACACAGCTCAAACTGATGCTGAAGTTTGCCATCGTAACCAGTTATAATCTTCTGTAATACTTCTCATTAGAGAGACTATGTAACCTAGAAACGTGATACACTCTTCTTTAAAGCTCGGCTGCAGCCGGTACATCCAAAAAGAAGTTGGGAAGCAGTGCGTTTACCTCTTTCGGATCGGCAGACATCGCAGCCTTCTGTCTTCTGATCTGATGGGCTGTTATAAGGAGATCAAGTAAACTTCACAACTTTCTGGACTTGGGCGTCAGGTCGCGCAGTAGCCGCAGGTTTTCCCTGTTGGATTTTCTTTAGTAGGACTCTGATTATACGTCATGCGTCACGTGGAGGCCTGACGCACGGGCTCGGTGGGCTGTGCGCGCCCCCCTGGCCAGACTCACATATGTGCTATGATGTGTTTGAGTTTCTATATAAATTCAAAGAGGATCTATTACCCTCCAGCAGGCACTCATGTCTTTGTTGAATACAGCCACAGTTATTTTTTATTATTATAACTATTATTTTATTTTATTTACTCCAGTCATTTATGTCAAATATGTATTTACCAACAATAATTCAGTGTTTATGTAATTCTTTAATGTATTTAAGTATTTGTTTGTTTATATTTCAGTAGGATTACATTATATTGTTATATTTTCTATTCTATTATTTAAAGTTTCTTTCTTGATCCATTACAAATAGAAATCCAATACAGATCCAAAACAGATTGTGTGTGTGTGTGTGTGTGTGTGTGTGTGTGTGTGTGTGTGTGTGTGTTGGGGGGGGTT